CTCTCTCTCTCTCTCTCTCCCTCCCTCTCTCTCTCTCTCCCTCCCTCCCCCCTCTCTCTCTCTCTCACTCACACACACACACACACACACCAAATAATATGCTACCTTCCAAGGAAATTATTATTTTTTAAAATGTTTTCAATTTTCCTTTCACACTTTTATTACGTATGCAAACCAGATGCCTTCTTAATGGCCAAGTCTTCATGTCTATCTTCATGTCTATGACTTTCATGATGGCTAAAGACTAAAGGCATATGAATATTTTGGCACAATAACTCAAAAGCAGGGCACAGAACTTTCTTTGGGAAGTGAAGAAGAGTCAAGTTAGAGATTTTGTTGTTACTGAGTGGTTTTAAAAAAAATCATGCTGATTCCTTATTTTCTCTCACCTGTTCACCCTTCAGTCCAGCTTCACCAGATGCCCCATCCTCTCCTTTAGAACCCTAATTAAAAACAAAAAAATTCAAATAAGATGACATGGTTTAATGGAAGAGATTAGGAGCATACCCTCCCTTCTGGACCAGTGGGCTGGGCAAAAACAATGGGTGATAGGCAGTTCTTGTGTCATCTAAGGCTTGATAGGTGGTAACCAGCACTGTGAAGCAGACTCAGAAGCCTTCTAGGATCCAGCATGGCTCATAGAACAGTGTTGTTACATGAGCACATTGAAAGATGCCCCAAACTGCCCACATTTTTGCATTCTGGACCAACTGGACCAGCTGCAGCTTCTGCACCAGCAGGAACCTCTGAATGATCTTCAAAGGTAGCTCACATACTGTGGGAGGTATCTAAGGCATGACAGATTTTATCTTCCTGGGCTCAAAGATCACCGCAGATGGGGACTGCAGCCAAGAAATTAAAAGACTCCTGGGGAGGAAAGCTATGGCAAATCTAGACAGCATACTAAAAAGCAGAGACATCACCCTGCCAACAAAAGTATGTATAGTCAAGGCCATGGTTTTCCCAGTTGCAATGTAGGGCTGTGAAAGTTGGACCATAAGAAAAGCTGAGCGCCAAAGAATTGAGGTCTTTGAACTATGGTGCTGGAGAAGACTCCTGGGAGTCCCCTGGACTGCAAGGTGATCAAACCGGTCAGTCCTAGAGGAGATCAACCCTGACTTTTCCTTAGAAGGCCAGATACTGAAGTTGAAACTCAAGTACTTTGGCCACCTAATGAGAAGGAAGGACTCACTGGAGAAGAGCCTAATGCTGGGAAAGATTGAGGGCAAGAGAAGAAGGGGATGACAGAGAATTAGGTGGCTGGATGGAGTCACTGAAGCAGTAGGCGTGAGCTTAAATGGACCCTGGAAGATGGTAGAGGACAGGAAGGCCTGGAGGAACGTTGCCCATGGGGTCGTGATGGGTCAGACACGACTTTGCAACTAACAACAACATCTAAGGCATGAGATCTCCCTGTTCAGAATGGACATTGCTGCCAACTGCTCCTTGAGCAGAAGCCATGAGTCCAAGAAGACCCTCAAATTGCACAATCTTAATTGGGAAGTGCTGATTTCTGGGACTTGTGAGGAGTCAATACAATTGAAGGGTATCATATTAGGGTTAGGATTCTGTGTATCAATGCTCTAATTGATGCATTGTTAGGGCTTAGTCTTAATTTTATACAGTAGAGTTGTGGCTCAGGAAACTCCTTCTTAAAGATGTAAGAGCTCCTTGAAACAGATGTTCCATGGACGCTTATTCCACTGATGTTCCACTCATCTTATTTTCCTCCAGCTTTGGAGGAACAAGTGTTTTGGAAAGTCAATTCTCTTCAGACAAGAAGTTGTCTTTCATGCTAACTTGAGTGTGCCTATGAGGTCAAATTCCTGCAACTGTTCCATGTATAACAGCCTTGGTCCCTTTTTAAAAAAAAGGAATAGGAGACACAAACATATTCAGACTGTTAAATGCTAGAATAAATAAGTATTTTTTTGTAGGAAGCAGGATTTGATGGACCTTGAAATTGGAATGCTTTTCCCTTTGAATACTTCTTTTCTACTAGTAAAAAGAGTCTTCCCTGCCTATGCCAGTTATTTTCAAATACATATTTTTGAGGAGAAGCAAGAGTTATATAAGATAGAATGTACATCTTACCTTGGGACCTTCCCCTCCTGGAGTTCCAGGGGGACCTCTGAGTCCAGGTTCTCCCTGAAAGAAACACAGTTTACAAACAGATGTTTTCTAGCTCGATTGTTCATTCCTGTAGTATCCTGGCAACATCTGGTATCATAAAATGGTCTGTGCCTATGGGAGGACAGAGGGCACAGGTTGAAGCAATGGGAAAGCATATGCCATTGCTTCAACCTGTGTCCTCTTCCTCTTACACAGATAAATGGGGTCACCCTGTCCTCCCATAGGAACAGACCATTTGATGATACCATATGGTTTCCACTCAGAGCTTTCTACAGGTTTCCCAGTGCCTTTGCTATAGTTGCCAACAAATTGTTGTGTTGTTTTAAACATAGAAGAAGGAGATAATACTTACACAAAATGGAGCAATCACATTAGATGATGAGTTTGATTAATTAACGTTACTTTTGAATCTGACTTAATATAGCTTGGTAAAGAAGGATCTGTCACAGATTCATCATTCCAATTGTTGGTGCAGATGAGACCCCCTCTTCCTGGTGGGTTTATTGCATGAGATCCTTTGATATTTATATTAATTTGACTTATTTATTGAATTAATGAATACTTTATTGTTGATTATTTGTATAAATAACATATTTAATCATCCTCCCTCCTTCTATTGTCCTCACAACAACAACCCTGTGTGGTAGGTTGGGTTGAGAGAGAATGTCTGTCCCAAAGTCACTTAATTGGCTTCTTTGGCTAAGGCAGGTCTAGAACTCACAGTCTCCTGGTGATTGGCCCAAAGTCACCCAACTGGCTTTTAAAGTCCTTCAAAACATCCTAAGCAAGACCCAGCAACCACAGAATAAAAAATAGGAGTCATCTACAGCATATAATGTGAAAACTTCAACAACCAGTATGTAGGACAAACAAGCAGAAAACTGGCAGAACACATCCATGAAGGCAGTCAAAAGGCATGACGAAAATTATATAGATAGATTTAACATAGTTTCAATTGGGAAAAGATGACAATCCTAGACCAGGCCAAATCCAAAAATGCCAGGGAATTTCTAGAAGCCTGGCACTCTGACAAATCAGCCATCAATAAACAACATCTATAGACAATGCAAAAGAGACAATTAACCAGCCCACAAGAGAAAAAGACTCCAGCATCTCTCCACCAGTAATCAGCACCCTGATCAGCATAAATTAACTCCAAGGTTAACATCAGACCAACAGTCAAGTAAGCAATACCTCAGTCAAGAAACTGCCAAAGATCCATTAGTAAACAGCCCAAAGATCCATTAGTAAACAGCCCAATAAAATAATCCCTAAGACCATCCTCACCCACCCAGACAGCCAAGACACCTGGATATAAACTGACAGCAAACATCACTCTTTACTAGCACTGATGATGTTACCTAGTTGGGTAATGACATGTCTACAAGAAAACAAGCAAGCTCAGAGAGCAGCAAGGACCCCTCAATAAATAAATCTGAACAAAACCAAGTTAATAGAATAATAAAAACAACAACAATAACAGAAACAAGTAATAGCAACAGTAATAGATGCCTTAGGTGCAATCCCAATATTACTTGAGCACCACTTGAACACTATTGGCGTTGACAAATTGATCATCAGTCAATTGCAAAAGGCAGCTTTACTTGAAACAGCTTACATCCTGGGATAATATGTGTAACATCATCAGACATCCACATCTGCATATCCCAGGTCTTTGGGAAGGACTCAATAGGTGGGGAAAAAATGCCAGGTCTGAACATCTGGCTGATTATACAACACACATAACAGAAACAGCAAAAGCCAATTGATACATCTCTCATTCAGGGTCTTATCCTGTATATGGGCTTACCCCATAGACTGGCCCAATGTTTGGAGGAAAGAGCCTGAACTTTAGGGCCTTGTAGAAGAACCAGTTTGACAATTTTGCCATAGATCTTGATACCATCTAAACAAGGGGTCCTCAACCTTGGCCACTTTAAGACTTGTGGACTTCAACTCCCAGAATTCCTCAGCCAGTTTTACTGGCTGAGGAATTCTGGGAGTTGAAGTCCACAAGTCTTAAAGTGGCCAAGGTTGAGGACCCCTGATCTAAACAGAATCAGGCAGGACTTCTAGCCTAAGTGATTTATAACATCTCCTAGACATTGCTTGGGGATACATCAGAAATGCATGCAGGTCACAGAGGTAGCCCAATAAATCACTAATGTGTTCAAAGAATGATTATTATTAATGCAAAGGCAATCTGTCAAATATCCTAGCAGAGGTAATCTCTTTCTCCCTCTAGCCCAGGGGTAGGCAACCTTGGCTCTTTTATGACTCGTGGACTTCAATTCCCAGAATTCCTGAGTCAGCATAGCTCACTCAGGAATTCTGGAAGTTGAAGTCCACGAGTCATAAAAGAGCCAAGGAGGTTGCCTATCCCTGCTCTAGCCTGTAGGAGTACATCTACAAGGAAGTACTGCAAATAAGTCTATTCTAATCTAGAGAAGAACTAGAGATGACATGATAGCAATATTTGAGGGGCTGCCACAAAGAAGAGGGGGTCAACCTATTCTTCAAAGCACCAGAGGGCAGGACAAGAAACAAGGATGGAAACTAATCAGGGAGAAAACCAACTTGGAAATAAGGAGAAATCTCCTAACAGTTAAAACAGTTAAATGAGTGGAACGGCCTACCTTCAGAAGTTGTGGTGCTCCATCACTGGAGGTTTATAAGAAGAAATTGAACAGCCATTGTCTGAAATGGTATAGGGCAGTGTTTCTCAACCTTGACAATTTTAAGGCATGTGGACTTCAACTCCCAGAATTCCACAGCCAGCAATGCTGGCTGTGGAATTCTGGGAGTTGAAGTCCACATGCCTTAAAATTGTCAAGGTTGAGAAACACTGGTATAGGGTCTCCTGCTTGAGCAGAGGGTTGCACAAGAAGACCTCCAAAGTCCCTTTCAACTCTGTTACTCTGTCTCTTATGCTTTAAGTCTTTCTTACCCTTTTTCCAACTGGTCCATCACTCCCAGGTGAGCCTCGAAGGCCTTTATCACCCTTCTGTCCTGGCATTCCAGGGAGACCAGATGGCCCAGGGGGACAATCAGTGCAAATATCCTAAAGAGGAAAATCATAGTGTTACTGAAGCAGCAGACTGTCCTTCTCAAATGCAAGTCTACCTTGACTTTGTTGTATTGAATTATGAATTGAATGTAAATTAAAGAAGCCTTTGTTTCTGTCTACGGGTCTATGGCACTACTCATTATAGCCACGCTTTACTATTTTATACATCATACACTTTGGAAAGCTCTTTCTTGTGTCTTCCTTATAGTTGAGTTAGTGCTGTCTATCAGTCCTTGAGCCAGCATTGGCCCCAGTAAAGATGGTCCTTCCAAATGTAGAATGGAAGATAAGTAGTGACTAGCAGGACTGTGCACTAGATTGGGAAGCTGGGGAAAAAAAGTCCCACAAGAAGACAATGGCAAATTATTTTTACATTGCTACCCCCTCACGACAAAGAGAGAGAGAGAGGGAGGGAGGGAGGGAGGGAGAGAGAGAGGTAGGTAGGGGGAGAGAGAGAGAGAGAGAGAGAGAGAGAGAGAGAGAGAGAGAGAGAGAGAGAGAGAGAGAGAGAGAGAGAGATGTGCTCATGATGTTTACCAAAAGTTAATCTTGACCTGAAGAAGACTACTTAAGACGAGAAAAAAAGAGAAGTAAATAAATGTACTTCCTTTGTTTTCATGAACATCCTCGGCATACCTACATTTTCTCCTGAGTCTTTCCTTCTTATAATATGCACGCATAATACATTTTACAAGCATTTATAGACTTTGATGGTTTTATTTATTTATTTTATTTTATTTTATTTTATTTTAATTTGTATCCCGCCCTTCTCCCGACGGGACTCAGGGCGGCTCACAACATATTTAAAACAAAGGCATATATACAATCCCCCCCCCCGTAAAACCGAATTAAACCAAATTTTAAAGTTGTGATTATTTCGAATTCCTTAAAATAAACCCAGTGTAAAATCCTCCCTAGGCCAGGTCCGCTTGCTGGAAAAGCCATGTCTTGAGGGCGCGACGGAAGGTAAGGAGATCCGGAATCGTCCGAATCTCAGGGGGTAGTTCGTTCCAGAGGGCAGGGGCACCCACAGAGAAGGCCCTCCCCCTGGGGGTCACCAGCCGACATTGCTTGGCCGACGGCACCCTGAGGAGACCCACTC